TATAGGACAAAGGTATTAATATAATCTTGACAAATTTCATCAATAAGATAAATTAACTTTCTTCAATAAGATAAATTAAATCTCTTCAATAAGATAAATTATATTTATTAAGATTTTTTTTATCTAAATAACAAAGGCAAATATTTAAATGCTATTATTATGAAACAGATTTTGTGTTTGCCTTAATTTTTATATATAAAATTGCCCTTCTGAAGATTTAACAAACAAATTATCATCATGTTGTTGGATTGTTTCCTACACAGCATATATACCAGTTCTAGTGCTCTGCTGGACCAAAGTCAAGGCATGACTGCAAGAAAACAAATGTTTTGTTTATGTGTTGTTTGTGTGTATATCTTTGCTTAAGAATTTCCTATTTAACATGTTTAGTATGCCAAGCTTCTGTAGTATAATGTATGTGCTTCTGTAAAACCCTAATGGTTTGAGACTTGTTAAGTGTATGTGGGATAACACCTGTACAAGAAAGGACTATTGGCATAAGTATCTTAACCACTTTCAATATATGTTTTATTTTGTGGGTAAGTTTAGTACTTATTAATTTTTTCAGTGTATGTATTTTGTTTGGTTTAAATGTTTGGACAACTATATTATGTATATGATTTTTGGTTTGTTTTTCAATAATTGATGTCTGGCCTGTTGTTATGAGTCAGTCACAGTATATTTTGTGTTGTTTTCTATGACCATCTGAGGTGTGTATTTGATAATATGGTTCCTAGATGTTTAGTAGTTTGTGCTTGTGTTCAAGCTTTTGGTGTATTATATATGCTATTTGGTAATGGTGTAACTAACAAGTAAGATGTTGCTCTGGGTGTTCTGGGAGGATGTGTTTATTGCTTTGATCACTGTCTAGTATTAGACTGATTTGTAAACAAATCTTCTAGAATGCTCCTGATGCTAGGACAAAACTTTGATAACAAATTCAATATCCAAACTATAATCTTTCTTCTAGAACAATTCACAGTCATGTAGTATAAGTGGATGATAGCTGAGCATTTATTTTATTATAATAAGAATGAAATAATTGATTGATATTGAAGTATTCTTAAACAAGAAATCTAAAATGTAATTTTAGATTTCTTGTTTAATGATTAATGATGTTTTAGATTTATTTAAGAGGGATTTCTTTTAGTTTAAAATTAAATTTAAGAAGGCATGAGTTGTGCTTGGATTGGTGGTACTGTAATTTCATTACTTTATATCATTTTTTAATTGACATAAAATTAAAAAATGATAAAATAAATGAATGAAATTACAGTTTAAATATAGTTCTTGATGTGTGTTCAAACCATAAAGGGTCATTTAAATATGACACAGAATACAGATAAAGATACTATTGATAGATAAAATTAGACTCACTTTGGCCCAGAAAACATATGAACAAGCATTTCTGCAAAATAAAATTTAATCTTAATGTCACAGTGGCAGATCAAATATGACATCAGCATAAGAGTGTCTAAAAACTGGTGACAAAATATGGCATGAAGGGGTACATAGTCAAAAGGACTTAAAATTTGTGACATCATATTTGAATGACCTCATGATGTATTTGTGTTTTTAATTTTTGCCGTGCAAGCTTATGATTTGTCTGTTTTGATTGTATCTATAATTGTACTTTGTTGTATGCAACTACATTGCATCATAATAAATTAATGTCTGAAAGTGTTGATTCTGTTTGAATGTATTTTGGTAATACAGTAGAGCGTCGATTATCCAAAAGTCAATCATCCAAAGAATTCCAGTCGGAAAATTTAAATTTTTGCCAGTGCTATGGTGCTGCAATCTTTGGCTATGTCTTGGGCTACTCAAATATTTTACGCTTTTGATACTAAAATAACTTCTGAAGTATAATTAATTTTTTATTGTTTTCATATTTTTCAATATATTTATTTTGTTTGTACAAAATAAAAAAATAATTTTTAACAATACAATAGTCTTCGTTATGCTTAACATCGACGAAAATTCAACGGAGAAAAATGTCAAGATGGGATAAATTAATATATTTTTTTGTACATAATCAGTTATCTGAAACATCTATCTTCTGAACAACTCCAGTCCCCAATTAATTCGGATAATCGACGCTCTACTGTGTGTGATAGTGTAAGGTTTTTCCTTTGCTTTGATGTGTGTATTTTAGACATTCATAGTCTTTGTATGGGATGCAATCCTATTTATTTAGTGAATGTTTTTTAAAAATTATGAGTTTTATTATTATTAATAATAGTAATAAGTATAGAGATTTGTATTAAATTATTAACTTTCAAATAATTATGTATTCTAATTTGGTATTTAAAGCATTTTCAATCCATAAACTGAAACCAAATTAGCAAATTAAAAAATATAATTTTAATAATCTATCTTTTTAAAAAGATAACATTAATGTTTTTAATCTAAAAAATAAAACTAAATTTAAAAAAAATTATTTGCATTTTAATTTTAAATAAATAAATGAGATGTCAGAACAAGATAAAATGTATTTTTTGGACAGAAATAATTGTAAATTATTTCTTTTCTCCCAATAAACAAACTACAGTACAACAAAAATCATCAACTTTTTTCAATAAAAATTTAACTAAGAAGCAAATATATAAACTGAATAAATGTTTATCATATAAAGAATTTTGTTGATATATTTCCTTTAATAAATTGTAAATAAAATTTATGTAATTTCTGGTCAATAAAAATTTTCCTATTGAATTTATTGACTTTGTACCACACTAATGAATACATATAATATATAATATTGATATTAATTTTAAAAAGTCATATTCCAAAAATGCTTTATTTGAAATGAAGCGACATTTTTCTAATTTCAGACAACAGATACAGTACAGCATCGATTATCCAAATATCTATCAACTGAAATGTCAATTAACTGAAAACTTTCCAGTCGGCAAATTTAAATTTCCGTTAGTGCTGTGGTGGTGCTTTGGCTATATCTTGGGCTACTCCAATATTATTTTTGTTGGCGTGTGTTTTAGCTGGCAGCACTGGCGTGACCATGAGAGAACACTTAAGGACGTGCCAGGATTTGAACAAATTTTAACATGGGATAGGTTAATATATTTTTTGTACATAATCGGTTATCCGAAAAATCAATTTTTCTGAACAACCCCAGTCCCCAATTGATTCGGATAATTGATGCTCTACTGTAATTATTATGTAATAATTTGCATATTTTATTAATTTTATGGAATATCTATAAAATTCAGTGGCGTGCCATCATTGGAAATTGTGGATGTGCCACTTCCCTTGTATTTTCTAAAAAATAAATACATATTAATTTTAATTATATGAAA